ACCTTAACCTTCAGGACGCCTGCACCGTGTCCACACCACGATGGCCCACAACATGGTGCATTGTAGGGCCTAGCAGCTATTAGCTACTACTGTAATCTTTGTGAGATAAAATTTGAACTCTATAATTGTAATTTTTTGGGACGGAGGGCGGAGTCATTGCTCATGAAAGACAACCGATCACCCTCTCTGTCCCTCACGTGAATTTTTCCTGGTTTTGCGTTTTCCTCGTGAAAAATGTGCTTTTCTCCGTTGCATTTCTAGACAATTCTCGTGAAACTCCTGAGTTTCGATCAAATGAGCTCCCAACCTCGGCATCCAATGAGCACACGTGTGTGCTCTCGGAGAGGAGAGCGATCGACGGCGTGCGCTCGAATCACACAGACGGCACCAATCTTGACGCAGGCTCCACCTTATATACCTCCTCTGCCACTCTATCCACTTACAAAAGGCGCACGCACCCCAGCTTCCCCTGTTCAGAAATCAGAATCACACACACCAAGCAGAGCACGCGCCGCAACCTGACAGCACTCGACAAGCGGCGCGGCGCGGAGCCAGCCACCTGACACCCGAACCAGACGCCTCCCCAGCCCCACCTCGATCGCCATGGCAACGACGCCGCCGTCGCCGCCTCCCCCTGCTCTGGCCGCTGCGGCTGGGGCGCACAACGTCTTCGTCTACGGGAGTCTGATGGCCGACGAGGTGGTCCGCACCATCCTCAAGCGCGTCCCGCCCGCCGCCCCGGCCCTCCTCCCAAACTAGTACGCCCGCCCCTCCCTCCCTCGAACTGGATCCTCCTCCCCACTTCCCCCTCCGCCTTCCCCGTCTTGGTGGTGGCCCTCGCCCCACGGTTCCCTGGGGCCGTCGCTTTCGTTTCCCCGTCATCGTAGTTGGCTGACGCGCTGACGCAGTGCCGATTACATTGTCTTTCTTTTTTTTAGCGGGGGGCCAAAGTGACGACATGGGAGATGCTCTCTCCACCTCCGTCACTCCGCCAGTTTAACTAGTAGATGAGTATTACTATTATTCTTGCAAGTTGCAATCACATGAAGTAGATATTATACGCGTATGCATGTGCGTCACGCACGCCAACAGCGAGAGAGATTGATGCTTACTTTTGCTTGCAACCTGCAAGTTCAGTTTTAACATGCTACGGCCATTTTTTGCAGCCATCGGTTCAACATCAAGGGCCGCATTTACCCGGCGATCCTGCCCGTTGAAAGCAAGAGAGTTGCTGGGAGGGTCTGTTGTTGGTTACTGTCACATAGGACTGTTTGAGTTCAAACCTCAAAAATTGCTCCTCTGCTTACTTTTTATTATTTGTATATACTGCTACTAAAATTGGTCACTGCAGGTTATCACGGGTGTTACTGACGAAGAGCTCCAACTTCTGGATGCGTTTGAGGATGTGGAGTACACGAGGACAAGAGTTGAGATATCATTGACTGTAAGTACATCTGGCATCTCTGCCATTATTATACACAGGCAAATATATGGTGATTAGTGAAGCAATGAAACTAATTCTACTACGAATTCAGTTGTTTCCAAACTGCCTAACTGACCTGATACCAATCAGTGTTGCTGTTTCTGCTTTAGTCTTCCTTAGAGCAGTAACTTCTCTTAAGTCACCATTATTTTCAGTACGAGATCACATCCTTCATATGGTATCAGGTTGGTTATGAACGCCTTGTTCTCAACAAACTTCACATCAATATTCATGCTTTCCCTCATTTGCTCATCCTTGGAATGCCATCGTAGATAATTTTAACTGGGAAGCCATCATTCATTGTGTTTGATTCTTATTTTAACCTGGAATAGTGCCCCACTATTTGGAGTCTGATTTCTCATCTAGAGGTGTTTTGCTAAAAGAAAGGTGGTTTTGCATTGTAGGACGCTTCGGAGAAAATGCTGGCTGACGCTTATGTATGGAGTGATGCAGAGGATCCTAATCTTTATGGCGAATGGGATTTTGAGGTGAGGAGACTTGTTTCCTGCAGTCCTGGGATATTAAAGCTGTGTGATTATTCTGGTTCTTTAATCCCCAAACTTGATCCTTGTGAGAACTGCAGCAACCTTAGGATCATATCGAATACTGAACTCTATCAGCTATTGCAATCCTCAGGATCTGAAATTCCACTGCAACCACACTCTGTGAATGTAGGGATTTGTTTGCATATAATATTGAAAACAGAGGCCTAATTCCGGCAACTACTCTTTATCAATACGTCATCCACGTCCTCACCTATTTGTTTCCATAACACCCATAGCCCAAAATGTGGTATGTACATATGTGTCCTTGTGCTTTCTAACTACAAAGATTATCTCTTGTCCACAGGAGTGGAAGAAACTGCATATGAAGGATTTCCTTGCAATGACGAATGGTTTCATGCATGAGCTCGAACAGCCTGAATCGAAGACCCGGGTGGAGACCTATGAGTCATTCATGCAACAACATGAACAGCCTGCGCCTCGGACCCAGGTTGAGGGTTGAGAGTTGCAATCTGCTGGCTGCTGACCTACATCCAGTCATTCTCCTGGAGGAATTGCATTGGCATTGGACTGTACCATCTGTAATAGGTCACCTCTATGATTTGTGAAATAAGATCAGGATTATCCTATAATAATTATATAATCATACAAATAAAATGTCCACTGAAATTTTGTTGATTCTTTATGTCATTGTTGACCACATGGCTAGTCCTCAACTGCTGATGCACGGTGTCTCTATGATTTCTGAATAAGGTCATGATTATCGTATATAATGCAATAGTTAAGTATATGTATATCAAAAAGCTTTTCTTGAGATTTCTGTTGATTCTCCTGTCATTATTGATCCCATGGCTGTTTGTGAAATAAGATCAGGATTATAGAATAGAAGTACAGCAATAAAAAAAATCACTGAGACTGTTGATGAACCCATGGCTGGTGCCTGGTCCTGAACTGTTGATGCACGGTCTTTAGCAGGAACAGACTAAAAGGAATTCAGAAGTAACTAAAATCTTACTAGCTTGCTTCTGGGAATGTCGGATTCCTTTTAATTCAGCTGTATTCGTTCTAAGTTGTGGCTGCAAAGACTAGGCAGAGTGTTAACCTACAACCATCAACAATCTAAAATTTTCAGTCAGATTGTTGATGAACCCATGGCTGGTGCCTGGTGCTGAACTGTTGATGCACGATGTTTCGCAAATAACAGACTAACAGGAATTCAGAAGCAACTAAAATATTTAGCTTGTTTCTGGGAAGGATTCTTTTTAATTCAGCTGTATTCATTCTAAGTTGTGGATGCAACTAGGCAGAGTGTTAACCTACTACCATCAACAATCTAATAGTATCTCCAAAACTTTATTGATCAACTCTGACAAAGAGCATGAGCCAACTGCAACCAGGACCTGACTTAAATTCAACAGAAAAAAAAAATTAGGGAGAAAAGGCTCAATTCCTCATAAATTCAACAGGAAATAAATTAGGGAGAAAAGGCTCTCAATTCCTCAGAAGATGCTGGATTTGGGTCATCTGTTTATACAAGCACAAAAAGGTTCGAGGAAAGCATAACTATCATAATTTTTTTAAGGGGCTATTACGTTTTTTCCCTTACTTTGACGTCCAGTTGTGATTTTACCCCTGCTTTTGTCATCGTTGTGATTTTACCCCTGTTTTTTGAAAACGAAGCTTAAGTTTACCCCTATTTCCGTGAACAACAGGTAATGGTGTCAAATGGGCTCAGTAAGGACAAGTTTGCCCATGCGAAATTGCCCCTACTTATCTTAATACATTGTGATTTTACCCCTGTTTTTTTAAAAAATTTGGCAGCATCATTGCATGAGAGCCGGAGGCGAGGACGGTGCATGCTCGGGAGCCCCCCGCGACGAGGTACGGCGCGGCGGTCGCGTTGGCGAGCCCCGCCTGCACCGCGCTACCCTGCGGGCCCCAGCATCGGACGGCCGCGGACGCGTTGGTCTCGACGGCGCAGGTGAAGCCGTCCTCGGAGACGAGCGAGTGGAACCCGCCGTCGGCCTGCGTGGGGAACCGGTCCCTGCCGCGCCACCATAGGACTCTCCCGGTCCCGGAGGCGAAGGTGTTGGCTTCGTAGGCCGCGACGTGGTCCCCGCCGACGGCGAGGTCGGCGAGCGAGTCGGGACCGTTGTAGAGCCGGCCGTCGTCGCTGGATCCACCGCCAGAGATCGTGCCCACCATGGATCCACCGACGAAGGACGAGACCTCCCTGAATCTGCTGTCGAGAAGCACGCCGGCCATGGATCCGCCACGAGGGGGGGGGCGCCCACCATGGATCTAGCCGCCCTCCACCGGATCCAGCCGCCAGGGGGCACATCCGCCATGGATCATGCCGCCCTCCACCGGATCGCCAGGGGCGCGCCCACCATCGATCTGGCCGTCCTCCATCGGATCCAGCCACCGGGTGGCACGCCCGCCATGGATCCAGCCGGATCCGAGGTGAGGGAGAGGGGTTGCGCCCGCCACGTCGCCGGAGGAGAGCCGCACCATCCGCTACCGGAGGAGAGCCACGCCCGCCATGCTGGAGAGCCGAGCGAGGAAGAGGGAGAGTGAGAAGGAGAGGGTGGCGGCGCTGCTCCGGGAGGGGTGGGGGCGCGGCACTGCTCGGGGAGGGGAGGGGGCGCGGCGCCGCTCGAAGTCGCGAGGGAGGGGCGCGCGCGGCGCTGCTCTCAGCCGCTGGGCCCTGGCCGCCCGACGCGGGTGAAGCCGTCCCCAGAGACGAGTGGATAGGGGTACTGTAGTCCTTTGGTCTTACTGGGAAGGGTTTTGTTGTTTTTTAATTTTTTATTCCACATACAACTAACAGAGTTAAAAGTAAGGGGAAACTGAGCATCAGTAGTTACAAAGCTGGGATAAAATCACAACGATGATAAAAACGAGGATAAAATCACAATTAGACATCAAAGTAGGGACAAGAACACAATATTCCCTTTTTTTTAAACGATGCTATCATAATTTATATCCCTTGTGTTTACTGATCAGTAAATTGATCAATTTTCGAAGCCAAGTTCCTCCCGGTGCTCGAGCACACCGGCCATCCACGCGGCGTCTTGCAGGGTCGCCGGTTGCCGCAGCTCCACGTCGGCGCGCAGGGGATCGCGGAGGCCGGCGGTGAAGAAGGCGAGCTGCATCGCGTCGGTCACGCCGTCGCATCTGTCCACCAGCCCCAGGAACTCTTCCCGGTACTCCGCGACGGAGCCGGTGTGCCGCAGTTGGATGAGCTCGCGGAACGCGTCGTTGCTGCGCGTCAGGGAACCGAAGCGGCGGCGCACCGACTCGGCGAACTGCGGCCAGGTAGGGACGCCGCGGTTGCGCTCGACCCCGTAGTACCAGATCTGCGCCTTGCCGGTCATGTGGAAGGCCGCGAGGCACACCTTTTTGTCTTCCTCGGTCCACTGCAGGCGGAAGAGCAGCTCGCAGCGGTGGAGCCATATGTCGGGGTCGTCCGTGCTGTCGTACTCCGGTAGACGCAGCTCGAGTACTCCGGGGAATGCGGCCTGCTTCTCAGCCTTGACGGCGTCGTGGAGGCACCGTTGGTCGATCTTGACGGTGGAGAGCTCGCCATCGACCGCCGTCAGCTTGGTCTCGAGCGATGTTAGCTTGTCGAGGACGTCGCCGAGCAGCTTCTTGAGATCGCTGAGGCCGGCGTCCGCCATTGCCGGGCGAGGAGCAGGAAACACTAGGGCTCGAGTTGGCAGCCGCAGGGTACGAAGCAACTGGATTTTATCGGAAATGCTTCCTGTCGCCGTCCCTTCGTCTGGACGCCGGATATCCGCGCCTGCGGACGCTCACGTTGGTGGGCCGGCCCAATGGCCCACCGCGACGCATCCGCTCGGTAATTCTTTCTCTAGGGAATTTATCGGTAATTTTTAGAATAGAGCGTCCGTCCGCCCGGACGCTTCCGTTAGTCGACCACAATGCCAGCCTAAATGGCACCTTCCTATCCGCTCGTCACTGCAGTTTTTGATAAAAAAAAAAAAATCACCGTGCATAGTGCGCGCTCATCACGTGCTCACCGTGGCCGCCTGCGCTCATCCCGTCCTCGTCGCGGCCGCCCGTACTCATCTCGGCCAAGGCGGACGTAGCCCAAACTCACTGCAGCCGGGTTGGAGCTCATCCACGTGCAGCTCACAGCAGCCCAAGCAGAGTTGGCCCACGCACATCTCGCGCTCCGCCTGTCCACCTCGCCGTGGCTGGGGCGGAACTCGCCCGCGCGTAACTCACGACGGTCGGGATGGAACTCACCCACGCACAGCTCGAGCTCCACGTCACAGGCGAGATTTACACCGGTGAACTCCACACGCCGATGAACCTCCATTCTTTTAAGCAGCAAGCAGATGTTACGTTGAAACGACATGTTGTAAGCGTATATTTGAAGTGTTTCATATGTTTTGGAGATATGTTGCAAGTGTTTTATATGGATGTTACAAAAGTAGATCAAATGTTGCATATGTTGTAATGGTTATACACGTATGTTGCAAGCGTTTGTTTCAAATGTTTTATCTGTTTTTTTCAAACGTATGTTGCAAGTGTGTTTATTTGGATGTTTCACACATATTTTGCAAGTGTTTTATCCGGATGTTGGATGTGTTTTGCAATGGTCTTTTCATGTGTTTTCATGTGTTTTTTGCAAATGTTTCAGACGCATGTTTGAATTATTCCATCTATTTTTAGACTCATGTTGCAATGTTTCATCTCGATATTTCAAAAGTAAATCGGATGTTGCTGCAGGGGAACCACCTGCCCGCCTGGTGCAGCTGTTGGGCCACTGCCGACCGGGCGCAAACGTCCGAGCATGGGAAGCAGAGGGGGATTGAGCGGTCCCCGCATGGGGTCGGGTGGCGTGGGTCCGGCGTGGGCGTGCGAAACGGCGTGCAGACACGAGCGTCCAGATGTGCGCATTCGTCCGGACGTCCGGACGTCCGAACGCTAGCACTGCTCTTTATTTATTATTATAGCAAGAGGAGAAATCTTTTAGGGCTACTTTGCCAGTACGGGGAAATAGATTTGCAATCACAGACACTGATGTCAAATGTGCGATGATGCCTCCCGCAGTCCCACTACCTGTGCCTTGGACTCCTTTGTGCACATGAACCATATATTACTAACGATTACGCTATTCTGAGTGCAGAGCAGCAGAGATATGAGAAATCGTGAGAAATCGCACATACCTGCATTTGGAGGCTCAACAAGCTGCATAGCTAGGATTTTGTTGCCCGTAAGCAAGCTTTTGGATCTCAAGCAACGTACAGAATTCTAAGCAGATCCATGTTTACGCGGTTCATAATGTGGGTGTAGCTCGTTTCTATTGCTTACGGCTGTAACTTTAGGACTTGGGCAGGTCAAACCCGATTAGGCATGTGGTATAATAATACATGTGCAAACTTAAATTTGCCATGGTATTTTATTTTTGTTCCCGTTGCAACTTACAACGCACAGGCATAAACCTAGTGTAAATAAAAGAGGTATCTCCTAAATTCATTTTTTTATAGGTAATGTTTGGAGTTTGATGAACAAAATCAGACTTTGATTATATATATATATATATATATAGAGAGAGAGCTACTATCTTGTAGCTGACTACAAAATAACTTATTCTGTAGCCACTTTGAGTTACGATAATTACTATGTTAATTTATGAGATTATAGTAACTCCTTGCTAAGTGGTTTACTATAACGTTATGATCAATATCCTCATATGTTATAGTAACCCAACTATCGTAAATATGTATTAACATTATCGTAAATTAGTATATAAAATTATCGTAAATGGAGGTGGCTATAGAATAACTTATTCTGTAGATATACTCTCCGTGTGTGTGTGTGTATATATATATATATATATATATATATATATATATATATATATATATATATATATATATATATATATATATATATATATATATATATATATATATATAGCGCGCGGCTAGACGGCGATGCCCTGGGTAGGGTCTCCTCGTTCGTTCTCGACCTACAACAACGCCCCAGCGCAGCAGTCTGCCGCGCCGCCACCTGCACCAACCGAGGCCTACCTCGCGAGGCGCCCGCAGCAGCACCAGGCCCTTGCATCGACAAGGCGCGCGGCGACAGACGGGCCTCGACGTCGACGAGAGCACCGCCACCGAACACTTGCCCCGATCGATCAAGGCCGCCGTCAGGATGTCGGGGAGCAGCATCGTCGTCGACAGCGAGATCGGCGTCGTCACCAAGGCTGAGCGGGGGAACAAGAAGGCGGCCGGGACAGGCATGGTGACGGATGTGAGTCTTAACTGTAAGTCTGAGTTCAGTTCGTTTTGCTTTCATTTTCAGTTAAGTTCAGTTAGCGTTCTGTTAGCATAGAGCTCGGCTTTGGATTCTTTCCTCCCGAGCGCGTCTTTGTACCGTTTATGTAGGATCGTGGCGTGGACTGGGCGTGTGGGATGGCACATGCAGTAGTGCGGTTCATGGCCACGAATGTCGGTTGGTGCGAGCAAAGCCCGGCCACCATTTTCTTTCCGTTGAAGTCTTCTCTGTAATTAGATACAAATAATAGAGGAGCATAAAACAGAAAAGCTGCTGCAGTTCGCACAGCACCAAAAATACCCTGTGTTCATCGTGCTTGTATTCTCAGTACGTGAGGTTGAGAGTTTCTTGGCCGGAACAATTCCGGCTGACATTTGGCATCAGAGCCGAGATCACGCCGCCGGCGCCATGTCCGAGTCTCCGTCGAAGAAGAAGGAGGTTACTCCATCGCGTTCGCCGCGCCGCCGCCGAGGCCGCTCGCACACTCGCCGCTCTCGCGCCCGCAGCGGGTCGCGCGTCCTGGAGCGCATTGTGGAGCGTCCGTCCGCGAGCGTCGCGTGGCCGATGCTCACGCGATCCAACTACCCCGAGTGGGCGTTGGTCATGGAGGTCAACTTCCAGACGCTCCGAGTATGGGACGTCGTCGTCGACGCCATCGACGACGATCCTGACGAGGACGACTACCACGACGATCGGGTGGCCATGGCGGGCATCCTGCGGTCCGTACCGCAGGAACTCTGGAACGCACTCGCCGTCCGGCGCACGGCGAAGGAGGCATGGGACGCCATCAAGATCCTCCGGGTCGGCGACGAGCGTGCGCGCGACGCCACCGCGCAGCAGCTCCGCCGCGACTTCGGCAACCTCGCCTTCAATGATGGGGAAACCGTCAGCGACTTCGGCGTGCGGATCACCACTCTCGCCACGAACCTGCGCACCCTCGGCGACAACATCTCCGAATCCGAGGTAGTTAAGAAACTGCTGCAGGTAGTGCCGGAGAAGCTGTCCCAAGCCGCCGTCTCCATCGAGATGTTCTGCAACCTCCGCACCATCTCGATCGAGGACGTAATCGGGCGCCTTCGGGTGTTCGAGGACCGCGGCAAGCAGAAGTCCGTCACGGACGCCATGGGGCGTCTCCTTCTCACCGAGGAAGACTGGGAGGCGCGCCGCAAGGCTCGCCGAGACCAGGACAGCTCCGGGCGCAGTGCGGCGTCGAGCTCCAGCGGCAAGAAGCGCGGCGGCCGTGGTCGTGGCCGCGGACGCGGCAAGAGCGACGGCTCCGCACCGCGTGATGGCACGAAAGGGCAGCCGGCCGGCGGAAGGAAGCCCAACCGGGATCAATGTGTACGCTGCGGTAAGACTGGCCACTGGGCCAAAGATTGCAGAAGCAAGCCCAAGGAGGAGGCCCATATGGCGCAAGCTGACGAGGACGACGAGCCGACTCTGCTGATGGCTCACGCCTCTGTCTCCTCCAACGCGCCGCTCGCACAGACTGGCGGAGTCCGATCCACTTCTTCCCCGCCGCTACGCGTCATCGAGGCAAAGGTGCTCGCGAAGCTTGATGGCTCAACCGAGCGCGACGACGGCGTCTGGTACCTGGACAGTGGAGCGACGAACCACATGTCGGGCTGCAGGGACGCGTTCGTCGACATCGACACCTCCGTCCGCGGCACCGTCAAATTCGGCGATGGCTCCGAGGTGGCGATCGAGGGGTCCGGCACCGTCCTCTTCGAAGGCAAGACTGGTGAGCACCTGCCACTCACGGGGGTGTATTTCATCCCCAGGCTTACAACCAACATCATCAGCTATGGTCAACTCGAGGAAGGCGGCTGCGAGATCCACTCCAAGAACGGGCTTCTCCGAATCCGCGACAACAAGGGACGGCTGATCATGCGCATCCACCGTTCGACCAACCGCCTGTACCTCCTGCGCGTCAAGATCGCCCGGCCGCTCTGCCTGGCCGCGCGCACATCCGACAGCGCGTGGCTGTGGCATGAACGTTACGGGCATCTGCACTTCGATGCCCTCCGGAAGTTGGAGCAGCGCGGCATGGTGCACGGACTGCCTCCCGTCGACCACGTGCACCAGCTCTGCGCGGACTGCGTCACCACCAAACTGAAGCGCAGCCCGTTCCCATCGCAGGCGAAGCGACGGGCTGAAGGCGTCCTCGACTTGGTCCATGGAGATCTGTGTGGCCCAATCTCGCCGCAAACACCCGGGGGTAAGCGCTACATACTCCTGCTGGTTGATGACAAGAGCAGGTACATGTGGTGTGTGCTGCTTGCCGCGAAGAGCGACACGCTCGCCGCGGTTCGCAAGTTCCAGGCACAGGTGGAGGTGGAGTCCGGCCGTCGGCTGCGTGTTCTACGCACTGACAACGGCGGCGAATTCACCTCCGTCGCGTTCGAGGAGTACTGCGCCGAGCATGGAGTCCAGAGGCAGCGCACGGCGCCCTACACCCCTCAGCATAACGGGGTAGTGGAGCGCCGAAATCAGTCCGTGATCACGATGGTGAGAAGCTTGCTGAAGAGCCGGAACATGCCGGCATCGTTCTGGGGCGAGGCAGTGGCGACTGCCGTGTTCCTGCTGAACCGCGCCCCCACCAAAGCTGTTGACGGCATGACACCGTTCGAGGCTTGGCACGGACGGCGTCCCGGCGTACACTTCCTGCGGACCTTCGGCTGCGTGGCCTACATCAAGTCGACGAAGCCACGTCTAAGCAAGTTGGAGGACCGCGGAGTGCCTGTGGTGTTCATCGGGTACAAACCCGGGGCGAAGGCATGGCGTTTCTACGATCCTGCCTCTCGGCGTGCGGTCGTGTCCAGAGACGCTGTCTTCGACGAGGCTGCAGCATGGAGCCTGGGGTGACTCGGATCCGTCCAGGGTCAATGGCTTTGACTTCGTCATCGAGCCACAAGAGCAGGAGGAAGATGCTGGCGGGTGGGTCCATCACCGGTGTCGCCGGACGCACCAGGGTTCTTTGAAGAGCGGCGCGGACGCGCACCAGGAGCCATCTGCCGCGCCAGCGTCATCTCCAGCCACACCTGCGCCGGCAGCAGCTCCAGAGGTGGAGTTCGTGTCGCCACCTCCAGACGCTGATGAGTACCTGGACGCCGACAACGACGACTTCGAGCCTCGTTTCCGCTCCATGGACAGTGTCCTTGGACCGGCAACCCTTGAGGTGGGTCAGGCGACAGCTTGTCCTAGCTGCACGCACAGTTGCAGCTGAGCTCCACCTTCAGATCGAGAACGAGCCAGGCACATTTGCAGAGGCTCAGAAGGAAGCCCCGTGGAGGCGTGCCATGCTGGAGGAAATGGCGTCTATTGAAGACAACCAAACCTGGCAGCTAGTACCGCTTCCTCCTGGTCATCGTCCGATCGGGTTGAAGTGGGTATATAAGCTGAAGAAGAACAGCGCCGGCGAGGTTGTCAAGCACAAAGCCCGCCTTGTTGCGAAAGGATATGTTCAGCAGCAGGGCGTGGACTTTGAAGAGGTGTTCGCGCCTGTGGCACGGATAGAATCTGTGCGTCTGCTGCTTGCTCTGGCCGCTCAGGAGGGGTGGTCAGTGCATCACATGGACGTGAAGTCCGCGTTCTTGAATGGCGTGCTGACGGAGGAAGTCTACGTCAAGCAGCCTCCTGGCTTTGCCGTCGCCGGAGAGGAGAACAAGGTGCTGCGCCTCCACAAGGCGCTCTATGGACTTCGGCAGGCTCCGCGCGCATGGAATGCAAAGCTCGACGAGACGTTGGTGGCCCTCGGTTTTGAGCACAGCGTGTCGGAACATGCAGTGTATGCCCGTGGCATGGGCTCGTCGCGTCTGCTAGTGGGCGTGTACGTCGACGACCTCGTCATCACCGGGGACAACGCCGACGAGATTGCCAAGTTCAAGAAGCAGATGAGTTCCAGGTTCAAAATGAGCGATCTTGGTCTGCTTTCTTTCTACTTAGGCATTGAAGTGCAGCAGGGAGCAGGGGGCATCAAGCTCTCACAGGCAGCGTATGCACGGAAGATACTGGAGCGTGCAGGGATGGCAGGTTGTAACCCCTGTCACACCCCGATGGAGCCACGGCTGAAGTTGTCTAAGAACAGCACGGCTCCGATGGTGAATGCCACTGAGTACCGTGGGATTGTTGGATGCCTGCGATACTTAGTGCACACACGGCCTGATATAGCTTTCGCCGTGGGTTATGTCAGCAGATTCATGGAGACTCCAACAACTGAGCACCTCAATGCAGTGAAGAAAATTCTGCGCTACATCTCAGGTACACTGGATTATGGCTGTTATTACAGACGTACTGGAGCAGATGTGAAGCTGCTCGGGTACAGTGATGCTGACATGGGAGGAGACATTGATTCAAGGAAGAGCACCACAGGTGTTTTGTTCTTTCTTGGATCGTGCCCAGTAACTTGGCAGTCCCAGAAGCAGAAAGTTGTCGCCCTCTCCTCCTGTGAAGCAGAGTATATAGCAGGGACGACGGCAGCTTGTCAAGGAATTTGGTTGGCGCAGCTTCTGTCAGAATTGAAGAGTGAAGAGCGTGCTGCCTTCCTGTTGAAGATGGACGGTCAATCTGCCATTGCTCTCAGTAAGAATCCTGTCTACCATGATCGAAGTAAGCATATAGATGTTCGATATCATTTTATCCGCGAATGCATTGGTGATGGGAGGATGGATGTTGAGCACGTCCGCACTGAAGAGCAGCTCGCCGACATACTGACCAAGCCGCTAGCACGAAATCGTTTCTGTGAGCTACGTGTTCAGCTTGGTGTCGTCAACGTCGGCAAGGAACTTCAGACTTAGGGGGTGAAATGTGAGTCTTAACTGTAAGTCTGAGTTCAGTTCGTTTTGCTTTCATTTTCAGTTAAGTTCAGTTAGCGTTCTGTTAGCATAGAGCTCGGCTTTGGATTCTTTCCTCCCGAGCGCGTCTTTGTACCGATTATGTAGGATCGTGGCGTGGACTGGGCGTGTGGGATGGCACATGCAGTAGTGCGGTTCATGGCCACGAATGTCGGTTGGTGCGAGCAAAGCCCGGCCACCATTTTCTTTCCGTTGAAGTCTTCTCTGTAATTAGATACAAATAATAGAGGAGCATAAAACAGAAAAGCTGCTGCAGTTCGCACAGCACCAAAAATACCCTGTGTTCATCGTGCTTGTATTCTCAGTACGTGAGGTTGAGAGTTTCTTGGCCGGAACAATTCCGGCTGACAACGGAGGCCTCCTGGATCAACTTCGTCTTCTTGACCAAGCCGCCGGCGGGGATCGAGCGCATGGCCGAGCCGACGGTGGCTATGATCACCAAGGAGACGGTGCCCGACTCTTTCATCGACATTCTCAAGAAGAGACGTCTGTACCAGAAGCTGCCTCCTATCAAGGAAAATTCCTATGTCTACTCCAGGTTCCCCGAGCTGCGCGACCTCCGTCAATCTGATACGGCTCGTAGGAATTACTGCATCGACCTGCATGCGGATGTCCTGAGGCAGCACGAGAAGAAGGGGTTCGCCGAGGTGGGCGTCGACTTCACCGACGGTGTCAAGAAGATCTTTATCCTTCCCCAGCATTAGGGGTGTGCATCGTGAAGAAAGTGAGTGCAGGGTATCGTATCGTATCGTCGGAGAAGGGAAGTAATTATTATATTATGCTACTAGTTTGTCCTGTCTAATAATAGTCCAAATTCTTGCATGAATGATGCAGCCTGCCTTACAATTTGGTAACCGATCCCGCGATAATACTATAGCAACTATACTTAGCTTTAACAAATTCCTCAAAAAACTTTACCAATAATTTTAAAAACTAATCAACCAAGTGGTTGTTTGGATCACCAAAAAAAAAGTTTTAGTAAATCGAGTTTTAGAAGGATTTTTGAGAGGAGAACCCCGCAGTTATAGGAAATCAGAGCTTTAGGGGGATTTTTAGGAAAACCCCTGTGTTGATTTGTTGCCTCTGTTGGTTCCCTTCTTGCGACGCTGCTGCTGATATCCAGGGCCCACAAATGCGTCTGCAACAGCGGCAGGAAAAAAATCATGTCAACTTTGGCACCGTTCGCTTCGCTGAAAAAACTAAGCCCAAACACTGTTCCGGCTGATTTGTTGTGAGAAAAAAAACACTGTTCCGACTGGAAAAAAAAAAAGCTAAAAAGTACCGATTATAAGACACTGTTCAGCACTAATAAAGTGAAAATGGGTGCTCCTGCGACAATCAGCACAAGAATTCTTGCGCTCAACTCCTGAAGAATGCACGAACAGGACATAACGCTTTGGAAACAGCACATGGTCAGAGAAGAAATTTGAGATACGTGGACTGAAGGCCAGCAGTCTTTACAACAAGCATGTTTTTTTCTCTCATAGTACAACATCATCTTTCACCTACGGTAAGCTTCATTTCCCATCCTCTATACTACAATCCCTTCCATGTGAGAAAACCTACACATATGAACAAAAACGCTACCAATCCATGGAGCCATTTGCTCTCCCGGATGTAAAACTGGTGACACATCTACAAATATTCTGCACCTGCCATCCCTCAGGAGACGCCTACTTGTGATCCGGCATGAATGGACCGGCAAGTTAGGTCATTCAAACTGGTCATATGAACCAGTAGAAGGGTTACCAGAGTTCTGATCGCAGCGAGCCCTCCAGGCATTCCCGCCGTCCGAGCTGCTGCAGGCCTGGTTGGGGAGAATGTTGTTCCCCAGATCCCCATCCAGGCTCATCTGCTGCACTTCGTGAGGCGACAAGATCCTAATGCACTTCACACAGTTGACAAATTCCCTGCATTATAACAAAATAAGGGTAAGACAGAATCAGAGTACATTTAGGGTTGTTCATGTTTTGTTCATAACTCATCATCGAATTATTGAGCATATCTCATATTGTCAGGACCAGTTTCAAGAACATACATATCCAGCAGTTTTACAAATTGATCATTATTACCAAATTTATTGGTATTCCTATCTTAGAGACTCCCAAAAGCAAATAATTTTAAAAATATATATATTAAAGTACGAGACAGCTGAACTTACCCCAAGGGTCATCACCAAGAAGTAAGATGTCATCCTCATGATCCTTGTAGACAAGTTTCCAGCCAATTCTCTGTCGTTCCTCAAGTTGCCCCTCCATACTAAACATGCGAGCCAGAGCATGCTTCAACTCATCATATCCATTGAACTGACTAATGTCAATGGACCGACCTACAGCTCCACGTTTATACACCTACAAGAAATTATAGGTTAAGCAGAAGAAACAATATGAAACTGAAAATAGCATATGCTTCGTTTCATAACAGTTAAAGCACAAATACTATTATGTTTACCCAAAGTGAAAGATTAGCTGTATGTTAAAGAAATAGAAAAGTGCCAACCTTGGTAAATGTCCTCATCCTCTTTAGGGGAAGAGGCCAAGAAGTTCTGTTCACGAAACCACCATCATTCATACCAGAGTCAATTGAATTGAATGCCATATCTGATGCACCAAATGACTGTGAAACCATGGATGACGATATTTCTTGCTGACCATCCTTTGGGATCCTGTAGTTACCATCAATATCTGTTGAAATGTGATTCTGATACTTGGAAGGATCAATTCCATTCGATAAGAAGCCATCCGCTCCCATGGGAAAGCCCAGCTGACCATCACAATTTATACCAAAGAGTGTGTTATTACTGGGATCAGCACTGTGGATATCAGTCTCAGGAGCCGCATCTTTGAACATCTGCTGCTGATTGAAGTTAGACATGGGGAAACCATGATGTAGAAGTCCATCCGCTTGGGAAAGCCACACTGAAGTTGCTGATGAAGCTGTTTCCAGATAGTCCGTCGGGGGTGCATTGTTAGCCAAATTTTGAGGTACAGGCCCTGTATTTGGTAGCTTTGAAGCCATTACACTTTGCTTGACATTAGAATTCAACTTTGGCAATTCCTTGATTGATCTTGGCGTCGCCGTGACAGCTTCCAGGGAGCTTGGGATTGACATAGGAGCAGTAGACTGAGGCACCTTCTCATAGTTCATCATGCTGCATTGTTGGTTTCTTCCGAGGACTGGTTGCACAAGGTGATTACCATTAGCTGTTGAAGGTGATGTTGAGCAGGAAGGGATTTCATCGGTAAGTACAGAATGTGTGGCACCAGTTGCCATCAGAGGACTTCCCACAGCTGAAATGGCGTTGACTGACGTAGTTGGAGGAATGGCAGTATGTGATGTGTCAGTGAAACTAACATGCTTCTGTGGAAGCTTCTGCTGTGACTCTTGTTGCACGGTTGGTGGTGGTGGTGTTGCCTGTGACGGAACTTTGGTATTTTGTTGAGGCATTATTTGTGGCTGGGAAAGTGATTGAGAATTTGACAGCTGCTGCTGCATATCAATAATCAACTTTTGCTGCTCTTGGATTAGAGGTAATTGTGCAAGAGTAACACCTGGTTGTGATAGCAACGACTGCTGCTGCTGTTGCAATTTTTGTAGCAGTTGCAGCTGAAGCTGCTGATCAGACAGTTGCAGCTGATGTGATGCCAGATTTGGCACTTGCGCAGCCATCTTATTTAACTGTTGCTGATTTTGCTGCTGTTGCTGCAATTGTTGTTGCTGAAGTAAAAGCTGCTGCTGTTGATGTGCCAACTTTTGTTGTTGATGTTGCTGTTGCTGCTGATGGGGCAGGAGCAGCGACTGGCTGGCAGCTGGCTGCTGATTTTGAGTCATGGATTGTGGTTGCTGCTGCTGCATTTGATTCTGGACAAGGACCTGAGCCTGGACAAGATTGGTTTGAGATTGGCTCAATGGAAGTAGTTGGTTCATGGACTGTTGTTGCCTCTGCAGATTGCTTGGGTCTTGAGTCTGTTCTTGCGGTTTGGTGCCCACACCAAGCTGATTCAGTGGAAGTGATGCCTTTGACAATTCATTGACTGGCTGCATTTGCTGAGGAAGTTTGGGAGAACTAAACTGAATGCTGTTCTGTTGCAGAATCTGGTTCTGCAGGTTTAACTGCCTTGAGAGATCAGCCGCTTTCAAGATTTTGAATGTTGGGGTTGCTTAGTGATCGAGGTACTCGGACTGCATAGCCGAGTTTGCAAACGAGGAGTTCTGCTGCATATTCATGTTCATCCACTGAACCAAGCTAAGACCAGGCATTATGGTGTTCTGTGTCTGTGGATCCTTTATGCATATCTCCTCACCAAGCCATGGCATTGCCCTCTTTAAGAGATTCTCCATTTCTGAGGACTCATCATCTGCAAGTACATAGCAGAGATCATTTACTGTACATCCATGCTACACATTAAAAAAGCATTTTTATATCAGGGCTCAAACTACTTTAAATCTTAAACTCACAAAATATATACAGAATTCATTAACTGCTTATCTATAATCCAAAGAATATTACCAAGCATCTTCACTAGTGTGGTTTGAGGAATAGCATCCCTGACTACCAAACTATCTAGAAAAAAAAAAGTCCTGCCATGTAACTAGTGCTAACGTAAACACCAAAGCATACCTAATTGTCTAGGACGTTTTGAACCAAAAAATGGTGGAGGGCATATGAAAAATGGAGCAGCAACCGGTTCGATTTCCCAGATTGAAACCCTGTTACGCCTTTCGCCTGCTGCAGACTCATCCCAGCCAACCTATTGAAAAAAATACAATATCCTTAGGTCACAAAAGAACATATGTATCAGCAACAGAAAAGGGGAAAAGGGTAGTGCACAGGATGCAACGAAATTAACTAGAAAACCAACCTGTAAGTTGCGCCATTGTGAGTTTTTCCATCTTACGGGATCTAGATCACTTATGCCAGTTATTGTACCCATGTACCTGCAAAATAACAACATATAGGAATATGAAAAAAAAAATGGAGATAAGAAAGACTATTCAGAACATGACATTTTTGTCAAAACAGTTTAATTTGGTTTCTACTTATAATATGGAAGTGCAAGCAAACCCATTATGTTTGTTAGAAAGAGAAATGCAAAACAACAATCAAGACACTTGAAGCAGGGAAAAAAGTAAAGTGAGATACAGTATACCTTCTTGTGCCTAATTCTTCAGTCTCAAACATCATGCGAAAGCGCATTCCTAAAGATATTTGATTACCATAGAGTGCCTTCTGATACTTAGCAAATGGTACGACAAACTCTGTAGGACTGGCCCTGAAAATAAAAGCTTTCAAATTTGGATTTTGATAGCCGCTAGCATTCACAAGAAGTAAGCCCATTTATAGTAAATATTAGACATTAAGTCAAAACTCAGTGCAGACCTAGGATTATAAAATATGGTGAATGGGCTATTGTTGGCAGCGGCATGGGCTGCAGCAGCAAGAATTCCTATATGCATGCTGTCACTTGAAAGGACAGATGATGATATGTTAGTTGGCTGTCTATTAGCACGCCTGATTCCAAGTAGAAGTTGCTGCTTTTCATCCCTAAAAACATATATAACAAAAACCAAGGAAAAAGGAATAGTCAGTGTTGAATCAACCATGAAGACCAGAAAAAAGGAGGTATCATCTCTCATGAGCTTTTTTAGAGAAAATTTCAAAGGCATAGATTCAGAAGCTGTGATGTACAGCTGTACCTTACAAAAATGACAGAATCACCAGCAAATAATCTCTTTCCGCTCACACAAAGACTCCAGCCAGTGGTAAGCAGATGTCTTTTTGGCTGACCTGTTCGTTCCAAAAGATGGGGATGGTCAAACATCCTACAAAGTTTGTATGTGCACGAAAAAGATAGAACCATGAAAAAACATTTGTGTGAAAACTTCTTTAAAAATTGTGTACATGAGCTACAATGCACAACTGTATTGAAGACAATAAAACAGAAATTTACATGTAAATACCCATTATGGCTCTGATACTAAACTTTTCATCCAAAAATATTTCCATGATGCTGCATCTTTTACCTCGATATATGTGACGGAATGTCCATACATTATCATGTAAATCTCTGGCTTGGATCTCTTGATAGGGTGGTTGCATGGAGAAATCCTACAGAAGGATGTGAGTACATTTAATTGCAATAACAAATAAAATGCTCAAAAATCATGTGGACACAAATCTTCACATACAAGAGGTGGAAATATCTTCTCAGCTGCTCGACGAGGCACGGAGAAGCCTCCATGAGTGCTTGTGTCACTTGCAGTTAGTGTCTTACAGAAGAACTCTGTTTGAGGCCTTGGTTGTTTCAATGCCAGTTCTGATAGTTGCAGTGCCTCTTTTCCATACTGATCACCATTAACAATCAATTTGAAATACAAAGCTCGTGTTAAAATACGGAAATAGAGGAAAAACTTATGGCAAACCAGGAGTGGAACTGGATATGTACTGAAGTAACTGGCAGGAGAGTCATTTGCGCATACACTTCATCTGTTTCTGGATCCGCCTACAAAAGCCCCAGAAGAAATCCTTTTAGTATAAATGCATAAATGATCAAGCAGAAGACAATTAAAATGGGGGCACAGCATAATATTACATGTAAAGTGACATTATGCAGAAGGCAAATCAACTTTGACGGAAGATTTGGGTAGCTTGGAACATGTCCATCAACATCCTTTTGCATAGAAGCTGCAACCTACAGTAAGAGCTAACTTTAAATCTCATACTCCAACTCAAACACAGCCTGAGAGGGAAAAAAAAAACAGAATGAAAATTTTTCTTCTGAAGAATGCAGATATAAATTCCCAAGTCTTGTGAGCCATCAAGAACGAAATAAGGAAAAAAATAAAGATGTTACTAACTGAAGTCATACAGTGTAAAACTAATAACTACTGCGTAAATCAGGTTGAAAAATCCCTGAACACCAGTACAGTGTAAAACCAATATCTACTGTAGAAGCCAAATGAGAAAGTTGTGATGGAAAGTCGTTGGGATTTGACAGCACATAACACAAGTAGATACATTGCATCAAAGAGCTATTATAGCCACCATGTGCGATGAAACCACCAGCCAATCATAGCTGAAAAGGTTCCATTTTCTTTCATCGAGCAAAAAGGAAAGGAAAAACCAAAGTTGGGCACCTCCCAGTGCTTGCATTCAGACAGAGAATCTCTTCCAAATCCGAACATGTGATCATCCGATCCCCTAAACTTGCTCAAAACAAGCTTCTTTGGTGCCAAATCCATGAAATTTGTGACAGAGGTTACTGAAAGCATCACCTATATAAAAGCTAAAATCCCATCGTACTTGGTTCCTTCATCCACCAAACAGCAAGCAAGGGAATGGTGCAGCACACCAGAAACCCATAAAAAGAGTGGGGGTAGTAGGCCCATTACTCCCAACTGCTTTGGCCATAAGCCAAAAATCGGCAGCAAACAAAAGCAAAATATACTACCAACCAACTGAACAAACATTACAAGCACAACATATCTTCTCTTTTTTGCAGTAACATGTCCATATTTCATCGAATTCCTATTTCGAATGTACCAATCTTAATTCCTTCATTTAAAAAAAAGTACCAATCTTACAAGACAAAGAAAATAGTCATGATATGATAGAATAAGGATCTGCTAAAGTACAGACTACAGAACAGATATGCTTTGAAAAGTCATAAATGAATCACTCCGAGAAATGAATAGGTATATGATACAAAAATTGTCCTACCTTTGCCCCAAAAAGAATGCAATTGTAGGTGCATTCTCAGTTAAAGTACCTAAAGTTTAACTAAATATATAGATAAAAATATTAATGTTTATGGCTCCAAATAAGTATATGTTTCATGAAGAATCTAATGGTAAATATTGGTATTTTTTTATATATAAATTTGGTCAAACTTGACCTGATTCAATATAGCACAATTCTAAAATTGCATCTTTTTAGGAAAGAGAGAGTACATTTTTTTTGTTGTAAAAATATGTACATTAAAATAGTGATGAACACTATAAATAGCGAAAGATCCCATCAACTTAACTGGCAGCACCACTCATTCACTCAACAAAATGGAGAACAGCAAATCAAGTCACGTCCCTGATACTTTTAGCAATTAAAATTCGACAGAAACCAATCTTGGCCTGTCATCTGTCAAGACCCCAGAGGGTCCGTTATTTAGAATTAAAATATTCTTATGCATAGCATCAAAGCAAAATTTGCCAACTAGAAAGCATTTTAAAAGGCCGTGGCACATGAACAAGTCAGACCATACGAAAAAAAAACTAAAAAAACAAATAAAAAAATATCGCAAAAAAGTGAAGCAAGGAGCCACCATGAATGATGAATCACAGCACGGGTAGGCTCAGAGAGAGGGGTTCACCTGCTCGCTGTGGCCTTGTGGGAAGTAGACGACGAGGCTGCCCGCCGGCGGCAGCGACACCAGAGGCCCCGCGCAGGCGTGCCAGAGCTCCGAGTTGATCGGCGGCGCCTTCTTCTCCCCTGCACACATACGCAAGGCCAATTGGCCAAACCAAACCAACCGCATCATCAGTGATAATAACAGAAGAAAAAGGAGCTACTTTTCCCCCCTAATTCCGCCGAAGGCACGCAGACCACCATGGCTGCCGTTGCAGCTTGCGCTTGCACTTGCGGACACAGAGAAAGAAACGAAGAACTACTACTACTACTCCAGAACTCTCGTAGCTCGCCAGATGGAGCTCCGGGGTTTCTGAGATACGGAAGGACATAAATGCAGAATAATCGTGCACTTTTCCACGCCGGTGGCCGGCGACGATCGCGACGGCGCGGCCAGCGGTGTTTTTTTTGCACAGAAAAAACACCCCGCAAAATCTCCAGAAATCACAGAAGCCCCTAGACACGCCTAAGAACGCATTGGAAAAATCGCGACTTTGCTACAGCCAGAAGTCCAGAGGGAAGAAAAAAAAAAGGCGCTTTCCAATCCCACCAAGCAGAAAAAACTCGAGAACGCAAGGACCAGAGAGCCAAGCAAAGATGGCACTATTCCATTCCATTCCCGCCAGACCGCCATTAGCAATCGCACATACCTTCGCATCCGCTGGGCGCCGCTGCCGCCGCCGGGACAGCAGGCGCCGGAGGCGCGGCGGAGCTCGCCGGCGCCGGCGGTGCCTGCTGCTGCTGCTGCTTGATCATCTCGACGTCCCGGACCTCCGCCAAGCCAACCAAGCGCTCGTTTCGCCGGCGAGAACGAGCGAGAGAGAGAGAGAGAGAGGTCGGCTAGCTAGCGGGCCCCAGGCATGGCCGGTTCCGGTTTCCGGAGCAGCCGAGCAGGCCCGCCCGTCCCACACGGCCGCGCGTGCGCGTGTCCCCTCCGACACGGGAGGGACAGGGGAGCAGGCGAGGCGGGGGAGGAAGCGAGCACAAGAAGGCAGAGGGCGGGCAGAGGGAGGCAGGGAGGCCAACACCGGCAAACTCGATTACACGCACGGAGACCAAAGGCTTGTTTGTCTAGACCACCACCACGCCAGGGCTTCTAGCTAGAGAGAGAGAGAGATAGGAGGCAGGGGAGGGTGGCGTGGGCATGCGTGTAGTAGGGGAGCTGTGCCTGCCTGTGCGTGCTGCGCTGGGTGCTGTGCCCTGTGCTGCGGTGTGGTCCTTCTCTCTCCTCTGCTCTGCTTCCTCTGCCTGTGCGGGCCTCGCCGCCTCGGGGAAGTAAAAGTTTTTCTTTGTTTGTGTCAGGGCCTTGAGGTGAGAGGTGAGAGGAGAGAGGAGAGAGGAGAGAGGAGAGAGGAGGGACGGGAACGGGCGGACGGCGGAGGCACGGAGGTCAAGTCAGGCAGCTGCGTCGCTTTCTCTCCGTCTCCTCTGTTTCTTCCCGGTTTTGGTCTATGCTCCCCCTATGTGCGCGTGTGGGCCCTTCCGGAGTTTTTTTTTTCTTTTGGGGTGTGTGTATGTGTGTGTGTGTGATGCTGGGTTCGTTTTTTCTCCCTCCTGTTCTTGGTCACTTCTTGTTCATTGTCTCATGGAAGGAGCATTTTGAATGGAATCTTCTTGGCAAATGTTCTTCATACTTTTCAAAAGCCACGAATTTTTCATGGAAGACCGTGGATGCTTGAAATCATCGAGAAAAGCCTTCAAAAACCTTGATGATAAGTTAGGAGCAATGCAACAACACTTCTCTCCTCGCAGCGACGATCATGATTAAGGTAGTGTTTAGTTGGCGAAATTTTTGGCGAAATTGTATTGCAGCATTTTCGTTGTTATTTGGCAATTAGTGTCTAATCATAGTCTAATTAGGCTTAAAAGATTCGTCTCGTGAATTTCGTTTAAACTGTGTAATTAGTTTTATTTTTTATTTATATTTAATGTTTCATACATACGTCTAAAGATTCGATGTGACGAAAAATCTCGAAAAATTTTGCAAAATGGAAGGGAACTAAACAGTCTGTAAGGCGCATTTGGTGCGGCTCCATGTTGGGTGCTATGTGGCCGGAGCCAAAACCCTATAGGTGGAGCTAGTTTTTGGAACTCCAGCTCTGGCTTCGTACACGGAAAGACGGAAGAGCTCCTCTGCACGACATTGTTCGGTGCGGTTGCGCCTTCTCCGGTACTCGAACCGCACATGAAACCAGAACGGGAGCTGCACCAAACAGGCCATTAGTTACGATGAGAAGGTCGATTAGTGCTAGTTACTGAAAAAAAAAACTAAGGCGGTGAGCCAACCATGGATGGTAATACGATGAGTTGGTGGTGACTCTACTAGAATGCTGAGCTTGTAATGATATATAGAGAATTTGTATGAATTGCGTGGTGGCACTATCAGCCATGTGGAAATAGTTGGTCGTGTATGGCATAGAAAACAAAGAATGACATTAATTGGAGACACGTGACAATTAACAAGGAAAAGGGTGCGGGAATACCGTATAGTGACATCATCAACGTATAGGTTACATCCAAATTGTTAGATAGCCTTCTCATCAGTCGCACACACTCTCTAAAGATAGTGTTCTGAGGGCACCCGCAACAACCAGACAATTACTAACTCGAAGTCACCTCTTCAACAGTATTAGCTTTTTACAATGGTTTATAATATGATTAGACATACATGATACTTTTACATGTTCTTGAAATATGTATATAAGGTTAACTCTTGATCTAGAGCTAGATTTTCTCTCTCTTCTATTAAAATATAAAAAATGCCCAGAGCTAGCTTACGCGTCACCCGTTGCGGCTGCCCTAAGGACATGTAATATATAGAAGAGGTGGGTGCTTTGAGAAATCAATTAGTTTTATACATGCATTCAAGATATGGTTATCCATATGCATCATCACTCTTTATGCCGGAGTATAGTGTCGGTGTTTTCGGACCACCGATGAATAAATTTGTATTTGCGCGTCTGACTCGAATGGTGTGCTCGGAGTACACAAGGGTTTATAATGGTTCGGGCAGAACATCCCTACGTCCAATTCGTGGCTGCTCGTGTTACCGGCACTTGGTTTGCAGTATGGGTTATAAACAGGCGAGAGAGGAAGAGGATCCCATGTCTCTGGTGGAAGGAGTGAACAGATGCTGAGACCTCGCTTGCCGCTCAGCCGTGTGCTCGTGTCGTGCTCTTGTGTTTCGATTTTGTCTGTCCCCCGGTAGGGGCACCCTGCTTCCTCTTTATAGGCAAAGAGAAAACACGGGTTACAGAGGAGGAAAAGAAGAAGAACGAGAGAGAAGAAGGCTTCCAGGGTTGCCAGCTCCTTTTTCTCCTTCATACGGGTCCCGCAGATCCTGTAGATGTCAACAGGGATGGCTCCATGTCGCAGCCCTGTTCGTCACTGGCGCCATGCGCAGGCGTCATCTGTCGGTCATGGCGTTCCACTCCGTATCGGTGGACGTCGTGGTGAACTGACACACCTGTCAGTGTCCGTACTAGGATTAGGCAGAACAGCACCGGCACATTCGACACTATTCTTGATGTGAATCCCCAGGTATGGCATGTCATGGCCACGGGTTACATCGAGGCGTGCCAGCCTCTTCCCTGGTGTCAGAGTTTTGACCTAGGCGATACGCTTGGACCTGGAGTGGTTGGCGGCGGTATGGGTCCCCGTCTGGGGGCGCACGCTGGCTGGCGCTGAGCTCGTGTCGTCAGGACAACGAGCTCTCGACCTGCTGTGCCGCCGCACGCACGAGTAGCGTGCGAATCTCACGATAGGCCCAACGATCCTCGGGTGTCGTGGGCTCCGGAAGCCCCTGGAGCAAGGCCGCCATGGCAGCAATGTTCTGGCTTGCCCGGGTGAAGTGTGGGAGGGCTTCGTCGTCCTCGATGATCATCCGGTTCACGTCGCGGGCCGCGGCACACGCACGCCCACCGTTTCTATGGCGCTTGAACTCCGCAAGTTCCTGCTCGAGCTGGAATCGTGCTTCTTCGAGCTCTTGGTGCCGCGCCCTCAGCTACTCTACCCACAGGCGAGGTGGGGCCCCTGCATCCCCCTCGACCTCATCGTCGAGGTCGTCCGTTAGGGTAGCCCCTCCCTCATGGATGCTTTCGATGTATCCCTCGGGGTACCTACCATGAAACATTCTCGCGAGGGGTGATAGTTCCCCCTGCTGGAGTCAGAGTCAGAGGACAACTCCGATTCTCCTGTGAGAAGGTCGTGGAAAAATTCCGCGACGTATTCGGTCATCCCCACGAACTCGTCGTTCGTAGGGGATGGGGCGTGCGTTGCGCCACAAGGTGGCCAATAGTCTCTACGGCATGGCGCAGACCGAACGGGAGCGCTGTTGAGGCGCTCCGGATGAGGTATTTTGGGGAGAGTGGCTCTCCTCTGGTAAGCTGTGCCATGACGTTGGCGAACGAGAAGGTAAGGTGATGTAGGTCCTCCTAGAACGATCGGGGTCCTAGGAAGGCGCCGAGCTGGAGCTCTAGCCTCCCGTAATCGAAGCCGAGGAGCTGGTCGCTCCCGGGGGAGTGGGCCTCCGATGCGTGCAGCTACAGCTCCTCAAGCGCCTCGACGATCGCATCGAGTGAAAGGTCCTAATATGGCTAGAGAATGGTGAATAGCCTATTTAAAAATCTACAAACCGACTAGAGCAATTTGATTAGTATAACAAATAGCGAAATACAAACTTGCTCTAGCTCTACAAGGGTTGCAAGCCACCTATCCAACAATTCTAGTTGCTATGATCACTAGACACACAATTTGCTATGTTACTACTCACTAAGAGCTCTCACACTTGCTACACTAAAGAGCTTCACTAGATGAACTTAAAACAACAAAGCAAGCTCTCAATTCTAATTACACTAAAGAGCTTGCTACAGCTAGTTTGTAAGAATATAAATGAGTGAATAGGGTGATTATACCGCCGCATAGTGGAGTGAACCAATCATAAGATGAATACTAAATCAATCACCGGGAGAATACCAAAGGGCAAGAGACAACCAATTTTCTCCCGAGGTTCACGTGCTTGCCAACACGCTACATCCCCGTTGTGTTGACCAACACTTGGTGGTTCGGCGGCTAAGAGGTGTTGCACGAACCTCGTCCACACAATTGGACACCGCAAGAACCAACCCACAAGTGAGGTAACTCAATGACATGAGCAATCCACTAGGGTTACCTTTCGGTGCTCCACCGGGGAAGCTACAAATCCCCTCACAATCACCGAAGATGGCCACGAACAATCACCAACTCATGCCAATCCTCCACCGCTGCTCCAAGCCGTCTAGGTGGTGGCAACCACCAAGAGAAACAAGTGAATCCCGCAGCGAAACACTAATACCAAGTGCCTCTAGATGCAATCACTCAAGCAATACACTTGGATTCTCTTCCCATCTCACAATGATGATGGATCAATGATGGAGATGAGTGGAAGGGCTTTGGCTAGCTCACAAGATTGCTATGCCAATAAAAATGGCCAAGAGAGTGAGCTTGAGCCAGCCATGAGGCTTAAATAGAAGCCCCCACAAAATAGAGCCGTTGTACCCCTTCACTGGACACAACGCGGGGTGACCGGACGCAGGACCCCAGCGTCCGGTCCTCAGATCTTCGCCACGTGTCCCCTACTTCAAACGCTGATTGCCCGATCTCAACGGTCAAATGATGACCGAACGCGTCAGTTAGAAAGTGACCGGACGCTGGACCCCAGCGTCCGATCGTTTCTAGTAGGTTCCAAACATGAGATTTCACGACCAAACACGTCCGGT